TATATATATATATATATATATATATATATATATATGCATAGAAAATTAGTTTTTGATGTTGTTTGTTATTGTGATGTGCGCCATTCACATAAGCTTCTTCTTGCTTCTTATTGTTTCTACCCCCCCCCCCCCCACCGCTGAACACTTCATGTCCACTCTTCGTTTTGCATTGTTTCTTTCTCGTGTAGAAATACTATATATATATATTATCTCCTTTTGTAGTTGTTGCTTTCTCCTTCTCTCTTGCACGACCGCGTCAGGCTCGTCGGAGAGGACGTTTGCCATAAAGGCTTGTTTTTCTTATATGTTTGTTTTGGGTAGCGCATCAGTATGTGTGCGTAGAGACGCGTGTGTTGCGCGACATGCATCCACTCTGCCACCAAAGGAAAAAGGGGGCGAATAACTTCTGTTTTCTTTGTTTGTTTGTTTGTTTTTTTGTTCTGCCTTCGTTTCGTAAGGTGGCCTGATGCACCCACATCGAACAGAGCTCATTTGGATCAATTAGGAAAGGGAAAATACCTGGGGCCGAACACGTCATGGTGTTCTTTTTTGTAGGTGTTGTTGTTTTTGGTGTGGCTTTCTTTTTATCATTATAATTGTTCTGGTCACGTTTTGAGTGCGTACGTGTCCTTTTCTTTTCTGTATTGTCTCTGCTGAAGAGCGGGAGAATGAGAAAGGGGGAGGATGGAGTGGTGTCCTCATACATGCATACATGTATGATGCGCGTTCCGCGAATTTAGTTAGACACGAGTTGATCCTTTCCGGTGACCTGTGCAACAACAGCGAGGTAAGCAATTACAATATAATAGAAAGAAGTACTTGTGTTGCTGTGTTCGGCACCTCCCTCTACTCCTCCTCTTCCTCGGCTTCACTACACAACTTGAGTGATCTTTCAGAGGCTGCCAAAAAAGGGCTGTTTGTTCACAAGGCAGATGGCGATGACGCCGCCTTTCTGTATAGGGGGCGGAGGTGAAGTGCTGCACATTACCTTGTCTTTTGGTATCCAGGTCCTGTTTTCTTTGTATACGTCTTGCTTTGCTCATTCATCTTTGATCGTCTTCCGCAGTTGAGGCCTGTGGAACGAACGCGCTCGCCTATGTAGACGTAACGGTTGCCGATGAAAGAAAAGAAAATAATTCCTTTGCCTCGGTGTTCTGTTTTTCTGCACTGATGTATTCTATGTCAGCTGTTGTTCTCATCTTTGCTTTATTGGCCTTTTCTTTGTTTGCTTGTTTGTTTGTTATTAACACCGCGTCACTTCTATGTATGATGCTTTTTCCCTTTCTTCTTTCTTCTTTTAAAGAAGCCGTGGCTTCTCCGTGTGGTCCTCTCCATCTCCTCACAAAAGTACAACACCTTCTCTTCATGTGTGCAGCTGTACACTTCCCGAAAAGCGCTATATTACGGTTTCTTTTAGTTTCTCTTAATTTCTTTTACAGTGACTCCTTTTTCTTGTTGTTGTTGTTGTTGTGTATTCACTTCGTCATCTTCGTGGTTGTTATTGATGTCGTCGTTTCTTATTATTTGTGTTTTCTCTCGGCGCATGTGCGAACTCTATTATTACTATTATTTTTCCGCATTTTGTGTTTGTAGTACTTGTTGCTATTGAAGCATGTGACCCTACAGAAAAGAAAACACATGTATATATATTAAACGGAACCTGCTACCGCTGCCGAGCATTCGGGGAAAGGGAGAGAACGAGCAGCAGGGAGAGGGGGGGACCGATGCGCGCAAACGAGCATCCCGCGTTGCAACCCAGCGAGCGTGGCCCACACGTACTCTGCAGTAGCCCATTGCGTGTTACCTTCCTCTTCTTTCTTTCTCTTTTTACTACTATTATGACGGCTTGACAGATTCTCCCGTTTCTCTATGTTAATGAATTCGTGCTCCTGACAACGCGCACTCACTCGGAAACCCTCTCTTTCGTTCCGCCGTCCTTTCTCGTTTTTTAATCCTACGTCTGCAGCCGAGAACATACTAAATTTAAAAAGCACAAGCTCGCCGTGGCGCCGTGCACAGCCATATAAACACGCACTGATACGTGCCGGCGGCCACTCATCGCAGCTTCCTGCGTTCAGGTGCTTCGCGCTTCTTTTGCCTTCCTTGTCCGCCGTTGTGCTGCACAATTCCTCGGTAAAACGGTTCTGTGGAGCACAGTCTCTGCTTCCTTTATCTACCTTTCTTCTTGTTGTTTCGCTACCTACTTGCTGGTCCTTATTTTTGTGCTTTGATATTATTTGACTTCACTGTTTCGTGTTTGGGTTTGTTTTCCACCTTCCCCGCGTGTGTGTGTGCCGTTGTCCATCCTCCTCCCTTTCTATTTTATAGTGTGTATAGCCACGATGACGCGACCCGCACACCGCCATCCCACAGCGCGACGGAGAGGTCGTCTTTCTCTTCTTGTCGTGTTGTTGCTGCTCTCTCTTGCGCCGGTTCCACTCCCCGCCGAGGGCATGATCGCCTCCTACACTCTGCGGAACAGCCGCATTGGCAACACCTACGCGTACGCCATGTACAGCGGCGCTGCCGTGACGGGGGAGGAGTTCGTGACGGGCACCACCACCTACCCGTACATCTTCGAGAGCGCTACGAACGGCTTTGTGGTGAAGATGTTGAACGCCTATCTTGCGTCGATCAACAAGACTCTCGCCGAGGTCGGTGGCAGTCTGCATACGTGTATGGGCAGCGAAGGTAGAGACGCCACCGGGCAGACGTGCTACAAGGCGTTGCTGGCGGCCGCCGCGCCAGCAGACTGCCCCGCGGCGAACGTCCTCTGCTGTCCGCTCTTCTGGCGAGTGCGGGGGCAGAACATCGAAACTACCATGGCGGAGATGGACGCCGAAACGATCTTCTGGAACGGCGCCCACGCGATCAACGGCTTCTTTACGAACTTCTCCCAATCCTACCTGATGGAGAACGGCAACTGCAGCAAGCCCGTGTTTAGTGACACGACAGCAATCAGTCTATCGGTCGACGCGACAGGGGAGTGGCGCTTTGTGCCGCTGCTGACCTCCTATGTCCTGCAGGAGACGGCGCTGAACATCAACGCGACGAGTGCGGCCACCTACTTTAATAACACGAATCCGCAAGACACGGTGGACACCGCCAGGGTCGCCCAGCAGCCGCTCTATCGAAGCCTGCAGCAATACGTCATTCCCGTGGTTGTGTGTGTGGCGCTGCTCGTAGTCACCGGGCTGTTTCTCGTGATCGCCTGCGGCTGCCAAACACACCGCACCAACGACAGTGTTCACCGCATCCAGCAACGTCTGATTGAGTTGAAGTCCGTCCCACCTCCCCAAGGCTCCGTCGCCATCTTAAACGCTATCAGCCCCGAGAGCAGCAGCAGAGACAGTAGCAGCAGCAGCAGTGGAAACAGCCCGCGCAGTAAGCAGCAGACGTTGAATCGTTCTATGAGTCGGCACTCCGCGGTGGCCGATCGCTCGGGCAACGACAGCCTTAGCAGCGGTAGAAGCGACCCCAGGGATGCGGCGGGCAGCGGGGAGTCGGCCCCCTTAAAGAAAGATAAAAAGGCGTCGGCCAAACGCTTGTCTTGAGCGCAGGCAAAGGCGGCAGAGGAAGCAGAGAGGTTCACTTCAGTCGGAAGGTTCATCGGCATCAACGCATCGCAAAACTCGAACAAGACGAAGCAGCTCAACCTTCCACTTCGCTTCCAATGGCGTTGTCGATGATGGTTCATCCGCTGAGCAGCCCTCCCTCCTCCCCCCCCCCCCTCGTCCTTTCAGCGCGCCCCGATCTCTTGTAAAACGGCTGCGTTGTCTCGCATTATTTGGTAGTAGTAGCAGTATAAGTTTCCATGTATCGCATACGAGTTTCCGTCAACCCAAATTGTGCGGTCCTCTTACCTTACGTGCCGAGTTATTTTTCATTAATACATCGACGTCGGCTCTCATCACTCTCTCTCTCTCTCTCTGTTGATCAAAAATAGCTTCTTCTTCTGTTGCTGCTGGTGTTGCTGAGGTATTTTTTTTTCTCTGTTTTTATCTTTGGAACGATGTACTTCTTTCGTAGATTGGCTAATAAAGGCTAACCGCTTCTCTTCTTCTCATGTGGAACTCTTCTCATCTCATCAGCGAAAAATATCTTTCGCTGGATCCCGCCGCCCGCCCCCCCCCCCCTCCCCTTCTTTTCTTCTGATTTGGCATTGCCGGTGTGCATTACGGTAGACCTGCGACAACCCAACCTTTGAACTCGCTCACACTTCTGTTTTTCTTTTGCGCGTACTTTGTTGATTGCTGTTACCGCTGGAATTTGCCATATATATGTGCACATCTATTAGATTGCAGACCTCCATGCGCGGCGCAACTCCCTCGCTCGCTTCTGTGGGCGTGCGTGTTGGATCTTTCGTTTCTTTTAATATGTGGTAGTCCCCGCCTGTGTGTGTTTTAGAGTTTTAATAATAATATATATATATATTGCTTCGGCGTTTCTTTCCTTTCCCCGAGTCTACGCAGACGAGCTCCCTCTTCTATTTCATTTTGCTTTATCCTTTGTGTATGTGTGTATGTGAAATTATATATAGCTGTTGTTTGCGTCCTCGTGCTGCGGTTTCGACTACAATGCCTACATTTGTATTCAGGTATATGTATGCGTGTGTGTCTACTATTGAACATGAAGGACAAAGCAAAAAGGGCAACATCACTTACGGCCGTTCAGTGGTGGGTTTCTTCCAACGGAACTGCGTCGACTCTCGAGACGGATAGCATCGGGTTTGAAAAATAAAAGAGCGGGAAAGTAAGCAAGAGGAGGAGGAGCTACGACGTTTGTGGAGAACGTGCCTGTCCCTTCCCTTCTTTCTTTGTGGTTGCCGTTTCCGTCGCCAACGGTCTTGGTTCGTCGTCCACGATAATTTTTGTCACCGCAACCTGCCTTACCGCACACATACACATGCACTCTCTCTCGCATCTCGAATTTCCCCACTCCTTTCTTTAAAGAAAAAAAACTCTTGTGTTTTTGTTTCCCCCTCTTATTATATACGAATAATTTCATACACGATTTGGTGTAGCTTTTGGCTCTGGGTTTTCTTCTCCCCTCTGTGCGTCTCACCACACACACACACACAGTGGTTTTATTATTATTATTCCCCAGCACGTACACGTACACTCATAAACTTCCCTCCAAACACACCACACCCTTGGGCACGTTCTCTTTTGTTGTTGTTGAGTCAGCAGGGCAGTTTTCCACCGCTGCCTCTCCATCAAATCCTTTTAGTTGTTGGTTCTTGCGTTGAGGGTATTTCAGTGTCGCTGTCACGGCTGCGGCGCAACTTTGGCGCTCCTTCCCGCCTTCTTCCTTCCCTCTACTACTCCTCTCCTTCTGGGTCGTCCGTCAAAGAATAAGGAGAGAAGAGAGAGCGAGAGAGATAGAAGTAATCGTCGACGAACGCGCGGTAATGCTGCGTGGGTGGTGTTCAACAGCGCTTCGCCTTTTTATTCGAAGCGCCGCAGACTCTCTTGGTTGATTTTTCCTTTTCTTTTCTTCTGCGGCAAGGAGTCACGCCTGCCCGAGACAGACCGAAAGGAAAGGGATCCGAGACGCAGTGCTCTGTCGTCGCGCCATTAACGAACGAACGAAAGAAAAGGTGATCTCCACCGTCAGCGCAGCGAATCACTTCATCAGCAGACTACTTGCAATTCGCTGTCTGCTTGGGCCGTTTCTTCCTCTCTGCCGAACACTAGCATCGCAAAGGAGGGTAGAACAAACTTCATAAAGAAAAAGAGGAACGAAACGATGTCGTCTGCAGCGAACAGGCCCACCAACGTGGACCGCGAGATGTCGGCCCTCTCCCCCGCCCCTCCCACGACGTCTGCGGCCGCCGCCTCCAGCGAGCCGACGTCGATCATTCCGGCGAACAGCAATCACGTGAAGAAGCGGCCACGCGGTGCGCTGAACAAGGTAGCCCGCACCATCACAAAAGGTCCCCGCCTTCTCGGTCGTCGCATCAAGCACTTCCTGAAAGATGACCTGTACATCGACGTGCGCTACCAAAAGGCACCGCCGAAGGTGGTGACGAAGGAGCTGGCGGTGCTGGAGGTGCTGTCGGTGTACCACCGCTGGCTGCGCGGCGTACAGGCCCTCCTCTCCATCGCCGTCTTTATCTTGTCGCTGCTTAGCGTGCCGAACTCGGCGGTGATCGTGAACTGCACGATTTTCGTCGTGTCTCAGGCAGCCTGCCTCGTCATCTGCAAGACGTACCACGTCAAGGCCCAGTTTTCAGGCGTCACAAACGTCCTCTTTGAAGGACGCAACATCTTCACCTCGCCGTACTTCCCGAACATGGTGGCTGAGCTTATCTTGTGGAACATACAGACGCCGCCGTGGATGTTCTGGGGGCAGCCGTTCTTTAACCTGCTCGACTACTTCATCTTTCTCCGCATGTACTCCATCGTGGTTTACCTCAACAACGCGGCGTACGTCTATCGCACCTTCTGCCGAACCATGTCCGCCATCAGCGACCTGCCGCTCTCCACCTCCTTCATGATCCGCACGGGTCTGCTGTACCACAAGGTGCACATCTGCGCCACCGTGATAGTGTGCACGTGGCTCTCCATCGGCTGCCTGTACGCGCGTGCGGAGAGCGTGAACCTGGGCGATGCCCTCTGGTTCTCCTTCCAGTCTCTCGCCACGCTGGGCTACGGTGACATTACACCGTCGACCCTCTCCGGTCGTGCGGTGGCCTTCGTTGCGTGGCTGGCGAGCTACTTCCTCATGGCCTACCTCATCACCATCCTCTACTCCCTCCTGCGGGCGTCGGAGCAGTCGCAGAACATGCAGACGTTGATGGAGTGTCACGATCTGGCGCACAGCCTGCGCAGCAGGTCGGCTCGCGTGATCCAGATTGCGTGGAAGCTGCACCGCGTGCGCACGGCGAGCCTGGACCCGTCCCCGTGGAAGGAGAAGGCCCGGACGCTGCTGCTGTCGTGGCTTCTCACACACATGATCGCGGCGCTGCGTCGCACCCGGCAAAGCTTCAGCGACGCCCAGCGCTCCCTGCAGGAGACCACCGTGCACCCCCTCACCGGCCTCTCCGCCTTTCAGTACAACGCTTTTCTGCTCACGACGCACAGGGCGGCGCGGCATCTGCAGCGGGTGAAGGATGTGGACCGCGTCTACCTCGCCCTGCGTGACCGCGATGTGCCGGCGTCGTCGCTGTCGCGGCGCGACATCGAGTCCATCATCATCCTGCCAGGAGACTCATTAGAGGCAGATGCAGCATCGTCGTTTGCTGCGTTCGGCGGCGGCGGCGGCGGCGGCGGCGGTGCGCGCGCAGAGTCGGCGACTGTGATCGCAGAGGTCGCGCAGTGGAAGGATCGTGTGTCACAGTTAGAGCAGAAGTGTGTTCGGCTGTCGGAGGTGCTGGATCGGATGAGCGCCGTCGCGGAGACGCACCCGCCCAGCATGGCCGTCTCTCAGCTGTAAAAGGAGTTTTTCTCCGCCACGTAGTGCATGTAATTTTTTTTCCCTTTTTGGGAGGATGTCCACACCGGAGATTTGCTATTGCGGTGTGTTGTGGATGTTTCTGATGGGAGGAGGGGGGTTCTTCGGCGAACCTCCTGCGCTATATCTTTTTGCGTTCATGTGCACACATACTTGTCTGATCGAACAAACCAGTGCTTGCTATTATGATCATTACTGTTATTGTTTTTATTTTGGCATCGCCGTTGTAATACACTGCTGAGGGGGCGATTTAACCTATTGAGTGTGTGTGCGTGTGTGTCACCCGCCATTTGTATGGGTGAGATGACCTCTTGCTTCTACATGATGAACTCTATCGAAGTCCTTGTCGTCACCGCGGAAACGGAAGTCGTTGTTGTTGTTTTAGCGAACGTGTGTGTGTGTGTGGGTGGGTGTAAGTCTGTTATGGGGTGTAGGTGAAGTGGAGGAGGGGACCGTAGAACTTTTGTCTTCCTTTGCATCACCTTTTTGTTCTGTGTGTGTGTGTGGTAGTGTGAAGGTGGAGGTGAGCCGCTGCTTTTCAAGTCGCGCATCTGTTGCCGTACGAACAGCTGTTAGAGCCTTAGCAGCGCCTCTCATTGAGTGAAGGGCTTTTTTTGTTTGATGGTTGTTGTTGTCTCGGAATGACCGCTGACCTCGTCCTCGGGACGGTACTTTGACTCACTGCACGCATAAAAACCAGCGGAAACGATTCTTCCAGTAACAATAAGAAGAAGTGAGATGTGGACGAGGAAAAAAAGACGGTGAACAGCACCACTGCACGATTCCTGTGGTGGTGGCGGTGCCATCGTGTTGAACGCCTTCTTGGAATCGAGAGGTGAGAGAGAGAGAAAACGAAGACAAGCTTTTTTGCGGAGGAGCACATCGGCTGTCAACGCGTAAAAAGAAGAAGAAAAAGAATGTGGATGCAGATTCCCATCGCAGCGTTGCGTGCGATCGCGGTTACTGCTGTCTCGCTCCGCGGCTCCTCACTTCAAACGAAAGGGGCAACGCCTAAAAATGAAAGAGAAAAAAGATAATGGGGCGCATCCTTCTGTCGCCGCGATGCAATATGAGCGCCCGCTGATTATTCTTTGCTTGTCTCCGTCGCCTTCATATATATTTTTTTCTTCCCATCCTCCTGGCACCCCCACCTGTGTCGGCGTGTCTTTCTTTCATCCCCCATTCACATCCGTCATCGTTGTGCCGCTAGCACAGCTTGCGTACGTGTGTGCATACACCTACACACACATATATATATATATATACATATAGTGGGGGACAAACGCCTTTGGTTGTCCTTTCCTTTTTTCTCTCTTCTTTTCTCGGCGTCCGGCGCGAGATTAGTTTTCGTTGGTTGGCTTTGCTTTGCTGTACAACTCATCATGGAGCTCCGCTCGCGCGTAGAGAAGTTGGCGCAGCTGCAGGCGCCGACGGTCGTGCCGCCGACCTCCACACCTGCCATTAGCCGCCTCGTCTCCCTCGAGCATGACCAGATGACCCACCGCTGGCTGCGCGGCGCGATGTCCTTCCTCGCCTTCATCTGCTTTATTCTGTCCATAATCCAAGTAGAAAACAACGCGGGAAACATCGTGCTGCACGTCCTCCTCCTCGCCTTCTCCCTGGCCGGCGAGGCGTGCATCGTCGTTATTTATCGTATTAAATCTCGCTTCTCCGGTGTGTCGAACCTGGCGACGCACGCCATCAACCCGCTGCACTCGCCCTACGTCTCTACGATGCTGGCGGAGATGCTGGTGTGGATCGTCATGGCCCCACCGGCCGTGAGCAGCAAGGCCGTCTGGGCGCAGGTGCTGGACAGCCTCGTCATTCTCCGCTCCTACGTGTTTGTGCTGTACTTGATTCGGCTGACCACCCAGAGCGTGTTTAAGCGGGCCGTCGCGGCCATCTGCGGGTACCACTTCAACTCATTTTACCTTTTCCGCCACACTTTCCTCTCGCGCCACGCCGTGGTCACCGCCGCGGGATTTCTCGTTGTGTGGCTTGGGCTGGCGCTGCTCTACAGCAACGGCGAGACCGTCAGCTACGGGGACGCCGTGTACTTCTGCTTCTCCACAACCGCCTTCGTGGCCTACGGTGACATCGCTCCCATGACGTGGGTGGGCCGCTTCGCTGCCTTCTTGTCCTGGTGCCTCGGCCTCCTCATGATTGGTTGGTCCGTCAGCCTCATGCACGCCTTCCTCAAGATCAGCGCGGCAGAGCTCAATCTGCACACCCTCTTCCGCACGAACAAGCTGTGCGCGGCGATCCCGACCGAGGCCGCCCACACCATCCAGCGGGCATGGAAGCTGTACGTGGCGAAGCGCGATCAGAAGAACTACGTCGCGGTGCAGTTCAACGCATTGCTGCTGAGCGTGCAGGCGTGCAGCTTCCGCAGCCTGCGGCGCGACTTCGCAGCGGCGGAAAACGCCTTTCTGCGCTCCACCTACACCTTTGAGGACAGCCTGACTGCGATGAGCCGGCAGTCGTCCCGCCGCTCCACCCCGGCTGGCTCGCCGCGATCACCCGGCAGCGCGAACGTCAGCAGCTTCGGCGGCAGCGCCACCACGCCTCGCATGGGCACGAGTAGCACTCGTCGCCCCTTCGCCCTCTTCAAGGAGATGAAGGCGAAGCAGTCCCCGTCCGTGTCCCCCAGCGTGTCGAGAGGGGAGTTGGAGGTGGGCAGCGAGGACCCGCACAACGCGAGCAGCACGAGCAACGGACCGGTCACGACGCCGGCGGCACGTGCAAGTCCACCTGCACCGCTGGCGCTGCGAATCAGCCCGGTTCGCACCGGCGACAGCGCTGCTGCGACGGCTGACATTACGGCTCGGCTTTCCCGACTTGACGAGACGCTGAACGCGCTGATTCGCAAGGCGGAGCGCATGACGCCGCAGCGCCACTCGCTGACGGAAGTGGACTCGTAGAAGTATAGAGCAGTATATACTTTTTTTTTTTAGCAGAGGAAGACGAAGGTGGACGAAATGGGCAGGGAAGTGAAGGAGGTGACGCAATCACCTCCCTTCGTTTTCTTTGTCAAAGGCACATCGATTATTGCTGCTGTTCAAATCAGCGATCGAGAATCACCACTCTAGTTCTAAGCTGCGATGGTGCTGTTGTGTGTTTGTTTGTTTGTGTGTACCTCTTTCCTTGTTGTTGCTTATTATTATTACTACTACTACTACTATTATGGGCGAGCTTCTCTGTCCTTCTCAAGCTTCGATGGCTGTCTCGTCGCCATCACTTTCGAACGCAATCCTGCACCGCTGTTTTTTGGAGGGGGATGAAAGGAGAGGTAGAATCGACGATGCTGACGTTGACGCAGCTCCATCGATAACACGTAAGACAGGAATGCAAATGGGGAAAAAAAGAGAGCAGAGAAGAGTAGTTTTGCGTCTACCGTTGTTTGGGCGCAACGGTGTGGAATAGGGACGTATCCGTAGTGGAAGCGCACGAGCAGCACGCCGGTGTGTTAGCTCCTGCTTGCGCCACCACACGATCGGCTGCGAGTTACACAGCCTGCGTATTGTTGTTGTTTTGTTTTTATTTCCGGTTTCCTTCACCAATCGCGTTCTCTTGTCTTTTCGCCTCTTTGCTCCTCCTGTTCGTTTCCACGGACGCCACCTCGCGTATGTGGTTGCTGTTGTTGCGGATGTTTACATTGTCATGCTTTAGCTCTTTAAGTGACTCTGCACACACACGCACGCACACGCATAATAATAATTAAAAAAGGGAAAGCAGATACACTACTTAGATCTCCCCCTCCCCCTCTTCATTGCAAAATGACACGTTCAGCAGATGTGCAGCGCTCCATGAACGACGTCTCTGGCAACGGACAGGCCGAGAAGACGTCGAAGCTGCGCACCTTCGATCAGACAGCCCTGCAGGCCCGCATGGCGAAGCTGCGAGCAGAAATCGCACAGAAGGAGGAGGCAGAGGCGCAGCGGGAGCGCGAGGTTGTCAGCCGATCGGTGGCGGACGCGGATGTAGAAGTTGTAGCGGACGCCCTGCACGTCCCAACGGGTGTGGCGAAGCGTCAGCTGCAGGAGAAGAACGGCGACGTGACGGCTGTTCTGCGCGAGGCCGTCGGACTGGGGAAGGCACGTGCGTAAGATGCAGTGAGGGGTGTTGACGTAATTTGTTTTGTTCTTCTGAACAGCCGGGCAAAACAAACGGCGGAGTTGTGTGTGTGGTGGATTCGCAGCGAGCTTCCGATGTGTGACAGTCGCGTCATGGACGTTGATACTAGTGAATGATGATGATTGTTGCGGTGTTATTGCGATGCGGTATCTCTGGGGCGAGTAACTAACGCTCTTCTTATCCCTCCCATAAAAGGTCACTTATTCAACCGCACTTATCTCAAAAGTTGAAAAGAAAACCGACGTTTTGTGCGGTCCGTGGTGTGTGCGATCCTCCCAGGAGTTCAAAACGTCTCCTTTGTGCCCTAGTAGGCATTCTTCCGAATACACGACATCGGGTGTGCATGTGTTTCTTCTTCTTCTTCCGCGGATATCTGTCGCGCACGGTTTATTTATGTAATTAAACTTGTAGGTGCTCTCCTTTGTCACCCACCGTCGTCTTCCTTCTCGCTCCCGCTGTCTTCTCCCCACCTCACGCACACACACACACGCACACTCGTGAACTATCTTGACTGAAGCAAAAGAGAGAAATAATTTTCCCAACGCAAAGTTCAGCTGTCGAACGTTGCCGTTCCTACAGGAAACAGCGTTTCTTTCTTTCGTCTCTTTTCCCTTTCTCCTTTACCCGTTTTTCCCCTTTTCTCTCCCTTTCTACCTCCTCCTCTCCCTCCATCAATATCTTCGTGCGGAGAGAGCACATCCGTGTGACGGCACTCTTTATCAGTTTCAGCGCCTCGCGTACTGCTGTTGTTTCTGTTGACCGTTTGGATCGTATACGCTCTGCTTCCCCTTCCCCCTCATCCTTTTTGGTTCTTCTCTATTCGTGTTAGGGAGGTATCTCTTATTTCAACTTAGACCCGTAGTCTACACACCTTTGCTGGACTCTTTATCCGCCCTTTTTTCTTCCTTTTGCTGTGTACTTTATTTGTTTTGTTAACGTCTGCCATTACTTTCTCAGCTCCCGTACTCGGCAACCGATCCGATCCCATACACACACGCACACGCACACGAGGCAGAAACAAGAAAAAAAACGTAGAGAAAGCCTGCTGGAATAATAACATACAGAATGCAGTACATCAACAACCTCTTCACGTGCAGCGTGCTGCCGACGGTGGAAGACAACGACACCAACGCCGCCGCCGCTCCTGAGGAGCGTGAGGTGCCGCAGTTCACGAAGGGCAACTTCCAGTACAACTGGATCGGCATCTACATCATCACCGTGCCCTTCCTCTTCGTCCTGCTGGGCATCTACCTCTGCGTGCCCTTCTCCATCCCGATCTTCGTGTGGTGCATCTTCTTTGCCGTGGCGACGGGTATGGTGGGCGTGACGACCGGCTATCACCGACTGTTCTCACACAACGCCTTTACCGCCGGGCAGGCGATGCAGTGGGTGTGCGCCTTTATCGGGGCTGGCGCCTTTCAGGGCTCCATCAAGTGGTGGGCCCGTAACCACCGCATCCATCATAAGTTTACGGACACCTACAAGGACCCGTACGATGCCCGTCGCGGCTTTTGGTTCTCCCACTGCGGGTGGTTCATCATGCGCATGGACTACCAACTCCTCGGCGACGCGGACGTGTCGGACTTAAAGGACAACTTGGTGATCGACTTTCAGCGCAGGTACTTCGCGGTCATCGCCGCCATAACGGGGATTATTCTGCCCCTGATGATGGCGGGGGCGACGACGGGGGAGTGGAGGGCGGCCTTCTTCTGGGTTGTGTGGCTGAAGATCTTCCTGGTCCACCAGTTCTCCTTCTTCATCAACAGCCTCGCACACATGAACGTCTTCGGTGCGACACAGCCCTACGCCGACACCACCACACCGCGCGACTCTCTCATCTGCGCACTCGTCACCTTTGGTGAAGGCTACCACAACTTCCATCATCAGTTCCCCAACGACTACCGCAACGGGTACAAGCTCTGGCAGTTTGACATGACAAAGTACTACATCGCTGTTTTGAAATTCTTTGGGTTTTGCGACCAGCTGCATCGTGTGCCGAACGAGGTAATTGAGCGGACGGCGGCTACGCAAGGCATCAAGACACACGAGAAGTTGTTGCAGGAAAACATCGAAGAGGCGCAGCGGCTGGAGGTGCCGGCGATTCAGACCTTCACCATGGACGACGTGAAGAAGGAGGTGGAAGGCGGGCGCAAGTTGATCATCATCGACGGCTACGTGCTGGATCTTGGGATCCCGATCCCGGTGGACACCGGGGCGCGGGAGCTTGGGGAGCACCTGAACTGGATGGACAGCCACCCCGGCGGCCGTGCGCTGCTCGCGGCGTACATCGGCAAGGACGCGACGGCGGCCTTCAACGGCGGTGTGTACGCACACACCGTGGGCGCACGCAATTATCTGCCTGAGATGCGAGTGGGACGGCTGAAGGAGCGGCGGGCGCCCTCGCGCATCTCACCGAGTGGGCTCGCCACGGAGGTGACGCTGGGCCGCTGAGCAACACACCCATTCACATTCACACGCATCTTTTCCGTTGGTGTGACTGCTTCGCACGGTTGTCCCCTTTTGGCAGCTTTTCCACTGCGGGTACGTCTCCGTAGTGAGGGCTCTCTGATAAAGAGTCGCACATGCATCTCGGTGCTTTGTTTCATATGTCGTCGTTTATTATGTTTCCTATTATTATTTTAATTATTACTTCTTTCATTCTTTCTCTCCCATTTATTATCTGCCTCAACACAGCCTCTTTTTGCTGTTGATGTTCTTGGATGCCAGCGGGTTAGACATCCTTGTGCACTGACGCGCTGTTTCCTAGCCTTGCATAGCCTCTTCATCGTGGACAGGTGCGTGAGTAGTAGACCGACTCTGTGTAATTTGCTTCCTTTTGTTTTGTTTTCTCTCTCTCTCTTTCCTTTCAGTTTTATTTTCTTCTTCGTATTACTTGTGTCTGTGCGTTATGTGTGAAGTTAACGTCACCGTTTCGTGGTTTTTTCTTATTATTATTCAAGCAGAAGTGGGCTTTTGCGCTGCATCCTTCCGAATGTGTGTGTGTGTGTGTGATTCTTCTTTGATGTATTTGTTGCCTTTTTCTTTTTAATGTTGACATCTGCAAAACGACACGGCACTCCCCATTAAAGTGAATTGGTCCTTCTTCTTTTCGTGTCAGTCATGTGCGATAATTTTATTCCTGCCGTTGTTCGATTCACATGTGTACAGAACTTTTTCTTCCCTCCCCCCCCCCCCCCCCTTTCATTCGTGCATTTCCGCGGTGTGGGTTGTGTTGTACTTGCGCGCATTCTTGGACTTGAAAAGAAGAAGAAAATAAAATGCAGTAAGAGACGTTCCTCTCTGGTGGGTAGACACACACAACTGTCTTTCTTCTGTTTTCTCGGTGTATCCATAATGTGTGGCAACCGTAGGTGCTCACGAATTTGATCGATACTTTTATTGCTATTGCTTCTCTTTTGATTTGCTGTTGTAGGTACGTTTGAACGCCTTGCTGTGCGTTCTCCTCCGTGTCAACTGTGCGAGTCTTCTTTTCTATTTTTGTTTTCTGCAAAGACGCCCACACCCACACCCGCGCACAGAGACACACAGGGGGGGAGAGAGAAAGAGCGTGGCCATCACACGTACCGGCGTTTTCTCACCTGTATTCTCTTTCTCTCTCTCTCCCGTTTCTTTTGTTGTTGTTGTTCTGGTGATGGTGGTGGTAGTGGTAGCGACGGCGGTGAGCTGTTATATGTTTTTTCTAATATTTCGGTTATTATTCTCCTTTTCTTTCCCTCTTTTGTTTTTACTTTCCGCTGGTGGTTTTGCCTGCTTGTCGTTTCTGTTGTGGTTGTCTCCTTCACGTGCTCCTCCGAGCTACCTCAAAACAATATATAGTGCGAAATGCCTTGTTCGAGCTTTCCTTCTTTTTCTTTCCTTCTCCCTCCCCTCTGACGCCGTGGGTGGCTGATGTGCAAAGAGAGGTGTTGCATCCGCAGGAGTCGAAATGGCACAGCGTCGTTGAGCAGGCGACGGTGGCGAAATATCGTAAAAGAGCCGGAGCTGCTGTTTTCTTTTTTCCCCTTGGTGTGCATTTCGCTGGATGAATTCTATTATTTTCATTTTCTTTCGTTCCTATATATATCTATATATACCCCTGCGCATGTGTGTCAGCACCTCTCAGAATTCAATGCGAAATGCCGGGCTGGTGCGCAAAAAGTACTTGAACGTTTTAAGAGCTTTACTTGAAAAGAAAAAGGGGGAGGTGCTCTCTCCCTCTCTCTTTCCGCTGCTCGGACGAGAATCTGCGGGACGATGACTTCAAGGGGATTCTATGCGACGGTATGTGGATGTGTTGCGCTTTTGTACTCCCACCCACCCACCCCCTCATCGAAGGAAAAATGAAGAGTTGTTGCTGTTGCTGCTGTTCGCTGTCGAAATCCGGGGTTATATATATATATATAAAGAATAAGTCGAGGTCAAACAAATATCTTTCTCTTTTTTTTTATCCGCAGCCACCCATTTCAAAAACGCCTTCAAAAGGAAAGGAAAAAGAGAAGAGCGTGCGTCTGTGTGTGTTGGAATGAGCCTTCCTCTCCTTCACGCGGCCCACTCAGGATTACCGCCTCTTCTTTGTTGGTTTCTGCGTGAGCTCAATGACAACTAGAAACCGTTTTATGAAGAAAACATGTGTTTCAACTTCTTCTTGTATTTCCCTTAACTTGTTCTACTCATTTTTTTTTTTTTGTCTTTGTTTTTATAAGTCTACGTGTGTGCAAAAGTCGCAGTCGACGATTGAAAAGGAGGAAAAGGAAGAAACGTCAATGAGCGGTTGGGGGGGGGGGGTGCGCATTCACTGCGGCTTCCTGGCAGAAACGGAGCTGTTGTTTGTCTTTGTGCCTGCGGGCGGTCTGCTCGCCTAACGGTGCGCAGCTGAACAGGCATGCCACCAAGTCTTACGGTGATGCAATCTTTTTCCTGCGCAGTAGCAATCTAAACTATTCTTCCTCTCTCTCATCTCTGTTCTCTCTTCTCCCTGTCGGCAGTACTTTCATACTCGTTGTACGTCGAGAAGCCCCTCAGAAAGCGAGGTCAACTCCGCACAGGCTGCGGCTGACGGCTCCTTCACATCTTTCCCGTGCCCACGGGTGCAGCCAGATGCAAAATAAAGCGCATAGATTCCTACTTCATCAATCTCTTCGTGTTTATTTATTCGTTTTCTTCTCTCCTGTTACTTTGTTTTGTCGTCGCGCGTGGCCTGCGGACACACACTCACACACGTAATCTCCGTTTCCGTATCGCTCTCGTCGTGGCATCGCACCTCTCCGAGACCCACAGTCCTCATAGATCACTCTGAATAGAAGCTATACATTCCTGTCCGTATTGCATTTTAGATTTTCGTGGAAGTTTTAGTAAAAGTTCTATGCTTTTTAAAACCTTTGCTTTTTCTCACCCAAGTCGATACAGCACCGCTTTTGTTGTTGCTGTTGCTGCCCTCGTGTGTGTTTTTGTTTGTGTGCGTGTGGGCGTAGCCCGAATTCTATTTCGTTAGTATTCTCTCTGTGTGGTGGTGGTGGTGGTTCGATAAACGTTGGACTTCCTCTTGTTTTTTGTTTGCGTTTACGGGGAGATCTTTTTTGGGAGATCTGAGTCGCACCTCCACACCTTTTACAGGCCTCCCTTTCCCCCTCTCCATCTTTTTTCTCCTCTCGAGCTTAACTCGCACTGATGCCGCGGAAAGTCGGTGTACAGCGGTGCGACCAAGCCGTCTTTCCCTTCTCCGTGGCCGCTGTTCCCTCTTCCTCCCCCGCCGGGGCCTCCCCCAACACGGTCGACGACGCACACCTCCGCAACGACGAGGCTCGCCTGTACCTCGCCTTGAAGCGGGACGAGCGCGTTCGTGTGCTACAGCGCGATCGGCAGAGCCACTACGACAGCTACGCCGCCCTCGCGCAGTGGTGTATCGCCCAGCGCGAGGACGGCGCTGTGGGCCTCGTCCCCGTTTCCCTGCTGCATCGCGTGCCGGGGGCCGCCTTTACCCTACGCAGCACGTCGCCAGCAGCAACAGCGACAGGACAGCAGCAGGGCGGCGTGTCATCGTTGCAGCGACGAGATGTGCGGGCACTTGAAACGAAGAGTTTGCTTCCGCAGGACACGGATGGAGAAGCAGACGTGGAAGACGAGGTCCTCCTGAGACGGCGACGACAAACAAGTCTGCAAGACAGAGTACAAGCGCTCCAGTCGTCGAGCAGGCCCGTTAAGCTTCTGCTACAAGAAAATCTACGGACGACAGCGACAGGAGCAACAACTCCCTCCTCTCCCTCTTCTTCTTCGTGCGGCCACGTCCGTCGACCAGCGCATCGCAATGCAACGACGTATCCCCCTGCGGAGGGGGCGAAGGATGAAGATGTGGAGCGTGCGCAGCTGACGGACGAGGCAGCGCACATGTCAGCAGAGCTGCTCTGGCTGCAGAGCGACGTGCTGCCTCGCTTGAGTGCCGCGTGTGAAGCTGCGCAGGTGAAGCTGCTAACCGAAGAAAAGGAAGAAAGAATGAGGACGACGGACTCTCCCTCTCGCAGTTGGACCGCCCCGAACGCGGAGTGCGGCATTGCGGCTGAGCAGCAGCGGCAACGCGTGGCGGAGCAGCTGACGGTGGCGCACGCGCTGAGGGCGTGGTTGGAACGCAAAGCCGCGCACAGCAGCGACAGGGACAGCAGTGGGGACGATGAAAACGGCGTGTTGTTCGCCGCCGACGCGCACACGCACGCCGACACGGTGAAGGTGCTCTCCTCTCGTGATTTGAATCGCCCCTCCGGCGGCGATAGTGACAAGCGCGAGAGCACGTGTTTCCCAGATGATAATAAGAACCACGTTGCGTATCGAGTGGACCACCTCTGCCGGCTCGTAGAGGAGGAGCGGGAGACGATGCGGAGCTACCGCGATCAGACGCGCGAGCTGCGGCAGCGTCTTGCCTCGCTCCATCAGTTGTCCTCTGATCTGGCGGCCGAAGAGGCGGCGCTGCAGCCGTCTGAGCTGGCGCTCAAGATCGTCGTCGCGGCGCAGGCGGGGAATGCGGACCCGTCCGCCGATCCATGGCCGCGGACGCTGCCGGGACTCACCGAGGAAGAAGACGAGGCTCTTCGCTCGTCCGTCGCGATGCGTGACAAGTACGCCCGTAAGCTGCAGGCCATCGATCCCACCTGCTTTCGTGGACCAACAACAGCGGCGAATAGCTTGGATTTGAGTGACATCAACGGTGGCCTCGTCAGCGCTAGAAGCTTAACGACAAGCACAGAGGAGAAGAATCTCTTCTCCCGCCTGCTGGACACCCCCGAACGACCAGCGAACGCACCGGCAACTGACACGGCGACTGGCGCTGGTGTGAACACCCCTCTGTCGTACGGCTCCGCGCAGGTGGTGGAGCGGCTTCGATTAGTCTTGGCGAAAGGTGATGGCGAGTATGCGCAGCTCCAAGCCAAGCTCAACACCCTACAGGAGTTCTGTGACACCTACGGCCCAACGGCGCGTGAAATTGACGCGCAGCTGCAGCGCGGTCGGCACATTCTGGCAAAGAAGCGCAACCATCTCGCGCAGCTGTAAAGCGGCGGTGTCGGGAAACACACAAAACAAAAGGGAGAGGGCAAAACAGCGACGAACACGCGGGCCGTTCTGCCACCCAAAAAGCTTCGCTGATGAACTATCCACTTTTGTAAACTGAAGATGTTGTTTCTCGTGCTGGGTGAGGAAAAGAAAAGCGATGATGTGTCGGGCAGCTGCACTCTGCGCGCTTTTGCTTTGGAAAAATTGTTTTCTTCTCCTTACACTCCTCCTTCCTCATGAGTATTGTCATTAATCCAGTTCTTTTATTTTCTCCTCTTTCCTATGTGCATATGCTGCTGTTCTCTTGGTGTTGTTGGCTTCTTTGCTCTGTACGATTTATACTGTTTTTGAGGGAAGGGGGGGGGAATAACCAAAAAGAAAGAAGTTCCAGCTGGTTTGCGTAAAGGAACGGCACCGTTTATTGCCAGCAACGCTTTTCATCACCGTTGCGGCTCATCGCACAACCGGTTTGTTCAGTTCATGCATCGCCCAAACGGTGTGTGCGTGCTCGCCACACACTCGGTGTCTCCTCTCGTCGAAGTGTCAGACCGACCCATCTTCTGGTGGAGGGGGGAGGAAGGAAAAGACAGCACGCTCCCTGGATGTGCGCGCGTTTGCTGTGGTCAAACCGACTCGTGTGCACTTACATGCGCTGCTCTTTTTGAGGGGGAGCGGGGTTGCCGTCCTTTTCCTACCTTTCAACTTTCTATTCCTCTCTCTCTCTCTCTCTTGCTGTCTCTCTGCCTGTGCCGGTACTCACCGATGCATCGGAACGCCGCTCCGCACACGACCCTACCGCCCTCGGTAGGTCATTTCTAACCCGTATTCGAGCGTTCTTTTTTTCTTCTTCTTTTGCTAGCCACAGCTATCGCCCTCTATCTTTCGCTTTCTTGACCCCCATTTTTCACTTCAACCCTCCCCGCCTCTTACTTTGTCAGCCATGCAGAATAACATGCGCACCATGAACGAGCCTCTGTCGGAGGTGAGTTCCATGCGTCCGTCGCGCCGCCCGTCCTCGATCCACCGCCGCAAGTCCAGCATCGCGGGTCACAAGGTGCTCTACATCCCGTTCCGCGAGCGCCTCTTCATCATCCTCGCCGCGGTCATCCAGGTGATCATTCTCGCTTTGCTCATCGCCTCTGCAACCACGGACGTGTTCGAGGTGGACGGCACCCGCGCCATCGAGAGCGGTGCGAACCTCACCCACGTCACCACTGCCCTCGGTGTCACCGTGACGGCGGGCTCAAAGCCGTTCTGCTACTCCCTGTGGGGTGCTCGCCACTGCGGCAAGACAGAGTTCCACACCGAGAAGTGGTACGCGGCCCGCGGTGCCGCGCATAAGGGCTTCCCGTCGCCCGTCTCCCAGACCATGATGCTTGGCGCCGCAGCCTTTGCCGTGCTCGCCGCATGCTACTCCTTCCTCAACCTCTGCGGCATCGTGGTCGTGGTCTTCCTGCAGGACTACACCGCCGTGCTGTGCGCGTGGTCCTTCTCGGTGTGGATCACCATCCTCATCTCCTGGGCCCTGAGCGTCGGCGTGTATGCGCGTGGCATGACCACCATGCCCAGCTCCACCATCCCCGGGCGGCTGGTGCACGTGAAGGACTACTGCAGGTTCACCACCTCCTTCGGCCTCACCATGGCCTGCTTTGCCCTGCACGCCTTCCAGTTCGCCTTCACCGTCGTGTACGAGCGCATGTTTGCGAAGCGCATGAGAGCGCTCGTGAAGGAGCAGAAGCAGCTGACCGCGGAGGTCCACGATCAAGCTGAGGAGTAGCCATGTGAATGAAAAAAAAATAAAGAAGGATTCCCATGGGCGCTGCAGAAATGACTCGCAGAACGAATACGTTTTCCTTTTGTTTTATATACGTTGATTATCCCCTTCACTCTATGTGTGATTTGGCTTGTTTGTTCTTGTTTGTCTTCGCTTTGTTTTCTTTTACTTGTCATTTCCCTTTCCCATAGAGGAAGGCACATTTTTTTGCTGTTGTATACCCCCCTCTTCTTCTTTCCTCTTCTTCCTCTTTCCTCCTCTTCTGCTTTCCCTGTCGGAGGTGGCGCCTCCCCTTCTGTTTTCTCACACTCGCACACGCCGTGGACCACGCTAACTTCCTGCCTCTGCGAACTTTTCCTCCTCCTCTGAGTGGTTGGTTGCTCTCTTCCGGCGAGCAACGATGCACTGCGCGATAGCGCGAGTGCGAGTGCGAGTGACACACAGACCTGCGCAGCTGCCGCATAACCTCACTGTCAGTGCTTCACTTTACTACCCTTCTTTATGTTTTATTGACTAGGCGGTTTCTTTTTCGGAGTCTCCTCTCCCCCTTCATTATATTTACCGTGTAGTGAAGACGCGTACTGACATCTTGTATGCTGCAGACGCCTTTGGAAAAGCGAGCGACGTCCGCACGCGCCTCGTGGCAGCACAGCTCTGTTTATTCATTTACCTATGCTGGCTCTTTCTCTCTCTCCTTCATTTTCTCCCCATCCCCTCTTTCTGTTGAGGAGGGGAGAGGAGGCTGCGGGAGGTGAGAATGGCGGCTGTGCAGCGGCCGCGAACGGCGGCTCTTCTTTCCGAAAAAGAAAACAGAAGCCTTCTCTGCTCTTGCCTTCACAAGTACGTCGTCGTTGTTGTTTCTGCCGGAGTGGGCATGTCGAATTGCGGAACCGCGTTTCTTTCCAATGCTGCGCTTTCGGACTCTCACTTGGAGCTTCTTCTCTTCTGTGTTCTATTTTCTTTTCTGTTGTTGTTGTTGTGCTTTTCCATTCGTTTATCCGTTTTACTGTTGCTCCTCTTCCTACCACCACCACTACTACCGGCCTCGTTGTTGTTGTCTCTGGGTGTGGCAAGTCGCCCGTAGGAAATCGAAAAGGGTGCGAGGTGCAAACCAAAAAGGCCAAGAAGTACAGGTACTGCATATATATATATATATTTATTTATCCCATCTTTATTTATTCATTTTTCTGTGTTTTTCTCTTTCTTCTTTTTGTTCTGTGACATAAATATGCAAGCGCAGCAGTGACGACGGCTATTTTGTTCTTCCTCTTCTTTGCTTATTACTCACGTCGAAACGTAGTTGATTACCTTCCCGCGTTCAGTGTTTCCCTGTGAGAACCCCTCCGTGTTTTGCTTTTTTTGCTGTTCTCCCCCCTGTAAGCGACATTACTATGCAGTGATGTTTCTCTTCTTCTTTAAAAAGACAAACAAAATAATTGATTTCGTACTCTAAGTATCTTTATTACTATTCTAGTTGTTTCTCTTATCTGTTGTTACACCTGATCTTACTAAAGACTTATACGTAAGAACCACCACACTCAAGTCTCTCCTTTATCTGTTTAGCGTCTGTCGCGGTCGCCCCACAGCACACAGGAAACGAACGGAAAGAACGCAAAACAAAAATACGGGCAACAAAGCAAGACAAGCTCAACGGCATGTGTGAGAAGCGCGATGTTGTGTGTTGTAAGAGAGGGAGCAGATGCAGCGAAAACAGATGAACCTAGCCCCTGGTCGCTGCGCAATCTGCGTGGTCCCCCGGATGGCCTTGGGTCGCCTGTGTTCGGGTCGCACGCAACGTATTTCGTTTCGCGTTTGAGGCTGTGTAATACAGCCCTGTGACTCACCCCGATCCGCTCTCTCCGCCTCTCATGATTTCTGCCTGCACGACTCTTCCGATATTGTGTTTCTCTGTGTGCCTCAACACGCTGCAATCGCCTACGCCGTCGTGGGGAAAAAAAAAAGAAAGAGACGTGTTGTTGTACCTGCCCTTTCGCCTTTAATTACCAGCAACAGAAAGAAGTCTTGTATCCGTGTGTGTGTGTGTGTTCCCTGATTTGTATATATATAGATATATATATATATATATATCTTAACGTCTGTTCTCTTTGAGCTGAAAATACTTATTGAGGAAACTGAAGCGTATCGTTCTTGTTTTTAGTGACGCTGAGAGCGATGGGAGGCGGGGTGGCGGATCAGCCGTTGTCTGGCCGAATGCCTCGTTTCGAGGAACTTCGCTTTTGGTGCCAGAGTGGTGTTGGGTTTTTCTCTCCTCTCTCTCTCTCTCCGCTGTCGGCTTTCTGTGTGTCCCGCGTTTTCCCTTTCCAAGAGGAAGCTGGCCGGTCCTTTGTTTATGAAAAGTCCGCTTTCCTGTGCGTGCGTCACATGCGTCTTGTTCTTCGCTCGGCGTTTGCATCCATTACTCCCTCTCCCTTCCCCTTCTGCGTTTTGCTCTCCGGTACCGCGAGATCACACGACGTTACACCGCGGCACGGGCTTTTCCGTTTCTTCTCACCTGCAGTAAACCTTTGCCCTGCGCACACACACCTTCTTACCCTCCCTCTCTCACCCGCATCCACATACATACCCTCTCCCCTAGAGCACGCAGTTTTATTTCCCTCAGCCATGCAGGATAACATGCGCACCATGAACGAGCCTCTGTCGGAGGTGAGTTCCATGCGTCCGTCGCGCCGCCCGTCCTCGATCTACCGCCGCAAGTCCAGCATCGCGGGTCACAAGGTGCTCTACATCCCGTTCCGCGAGCGCCTCTTCATCATCCTCGCCGCGGTCATCCAGGTGATCATTCTCGCTTTGCTCATCGCCTCTGCAACCACGGACGTGTTCGAGGTGGACGGCACCCGCGCCATCGAGAGCGGTGCGAACCTCACCCACGTCACCACTGCCCTCGGTGTCACCGTGACGGCGGGCTCAAAGCCGTTCTGCTACTCCCTGTGGGGTGCTCGCCACTGCGGCAAGACAGAGTTCCACACCGAGAAGTGGTACGCGGCCCGCGGTGCCGCGCATAAGGGCTTCCCGTCGCCCGTCTCCCAGACCATGATGCTTGGCGCCGCAGCCTTTGCCGTGCTCGCCGCATGCTACTCCTTCCTCAACCTCTGCGGCATCGTGGTCGTGGTCTTCCTGCAGGACTACACCGCCGTGCTGTGCGCGTGGTCCTTCTCGGTGTGGATCACCATCCTCATCTCCTGGGCCCTGAGCGTCGGCGTGTATGCGCGTGGCATGACCACCATGCCCAGCTCCACCATCCCCGGGCGGCTGGTGCACGTGAAGGACTACTGCAGGTTCACCACCTCCTTCGGCCTCACCATGGCCTGCTTTGCCCTGCACGCCTTCCAGTTCGCCTTCACCGTCGTGTACGAGCGCATGTTTGCGAAGCGCATGAGAGCGCTCGTGAAGGAGCAGAAGCAGCTGACCGCGGAGGTCCACGATCACGCCGAGGAGTAAGTTGCTGTGGAATTCGAAATCAATGAGGGAACATGACATGTTGGGAGCACGCGTCAGCGTACGAACACGTTTTGGAGGAAATCCTGCCGCTACGGCTCCGCATTCCTTTTCTCGCTGACGGTCGTCGCTGTCGTGCAGATATCACCGGTGAGATGGTGTCTGGTGCCGAAGGGCATTTGTATTTTAGTATTCTCGACTGCTTCCGTTGGTTCTCTTGGTATTCTGGAGTGGTGGGTACTCGTGGGCGAGCGTGTGGTGAAGCCGCATCGTCCAGCTCCTACTTAACTCCTTTTTTATTCTACTCTCTTTCTCTCTCCCCATGTCCTGAGGTTTTTAAAAAGCGGAGTTGTTTGATTCGGGACACAATCTCCCGTCTTGTTTGTGTGTGTGTGGGTGTGTTGGTTCAGTGTAGCAACGCTTCTTTCCGCTCTCTCGACCGAGGTCTTGCTGAGGCTTCGCGCGCTTTATTCTTCTTTTTCTCTTGTTGTTGTTTATAGCTTTATTCCTATTGCTGTGCTTGATTTATATGTTTGGTCTACTGTCTCCCTGTTATTCTCACATATCCTCAAAATGGGTGTTTTGTTGTCTTGGGACAGAGTAGAGTTCGTGAGCGCTGATATGACCACGGAAGCTCCTAAAAGGATTCCACGAGGCGAAGTGTATGACGACACAACCGCCATCTTGCATTACTACTCCCTTCTTTCTTTCGTTTTCTTCTTCTACCCGTGGTGGCCGTTGTCGCGGGCGTCCTTCGCACACGCCGTAGCGCGCGTTTTCTTGCCATCAGAGAGGGAAAGGGTGTTCTGGGCGGGTTCCATCTGATACGTCTTGTTTCTGTTGTTGTTGTTGTGGTGGTGGTGGTGTTGGTGTTCGCCTCTCTTTTCTCTTCATCGCACACGCACGAGCGTCCCTTCAGCCGTCGTATTTCCCAGGTCGTTCAGCTTTCTCGGTTTGGGTGTGACTGCGGAAAGAGCAGGCGACGATCGCGTGTCGTCTCATTTACGGTTTTCGCTTTCTTGATGCCAGCGGTAACAACTATTCAGAATAAATATAACAGAGTTCACAGTTGACCACTTGTTGTTTAAAAGGAAGAAGAAAAATGGAAGCCTCGCACGTCCTCACCCCTGAAAACTGCTTAGAGGCCACGATAGGTTTGGGTTCAACACGTGAGATATAAACGTAAAGGAAAAGTTTTTTTTCTCTCCAAGGAGCTGTCTCTTTTTGACAGCTTCGCTCGTTCGAAGCAATTTTTAAGTGTTTTTGTTTACTATGTGCTTTTAATATCTTTGATTAACTGCGGTGATCCTAATGCCTTTTGCATGTTGTAATCCACTTCTATTGGACGCTGTTAACAGGAAAGAAAAACTGTTTATTTATAGGGATTCCTCGCGGACACGCTGTCTCTATCACGCCGCGCGGCGCTTTTGACGGCCATGCGTTGCCACAGAGCGCGCACCTCATGTAGCCACTTCATTTAATTGACACGAGCTGTTGTAATGAAGCTGCGCCTTCGATTCCCCCACAAACACTCGCGCACCTCTCCCTCCTCTTTCCGGTTCTTCTTTCGCGCGCTTTTCCACAGCGGCGCGGCCCCGGCGCCGGCTTTTTAAAACCACACCCGCCGACCGCCCAACGATCGACTCTCCCCAGCATCCCCGCACGCGCTGGGAGAAAGCCCACGGCTTTTCATTCTTAGTTTGCGTGATTCGTACGTATTTGCAGAGAAACGGCATCGGAAAGACGCGCGCGCACGCCCTATCCAAATCAGCGCAGCGCGCCACCAAACACCATTTCTGCGGCCGAAACCGTACACCGTTAGTAGCATGCCAGTTAGACATGCGAGGCGACAAGAGAAAGGGAAGCAGCAGCGCACACATCACCGAGACACAGTAACTGCACCACTGAAGAGAACGAAGATGATGGGATGAACGACGTGGCAACGGATGCGCAAAGACGTCCTGGGCGACGATAATGAAAAACAGACGAAAAGAACCGAGAAAAGGAGAAAAAGAAGTTCAGAAGAAGAAACATGCGCTTGTCAACGAGTAGAGATGTCAGTAAAAATAGAATTGTGAAAAGTACGACGATGAAGAGGAAGACAAAGGCGAACTATGCGTACGCACCATGATCGTGCCAGGTACAATTCGGAAGGCAACTGCACCCGCAAGCTTCTGCCCAGCGGATGCCAACCGCCAGGACCGCGTGCACCGAGAGAGAACAAAGTGAAGTTGAACCTAGCGAAGAAAAATGCAACAGGTCGCCAAAACAGAGGTTTCGCGGGCGCCATCACCAGTTTTCTCGCTGATCCGCGCCTCCCCGCCGGCGAGCAGGGCGCTCTGGCGGTGGGCTGGGGCGCCCCCTAGCCCCCGCCGCCGCGGGCCAAACCCCCGGCGGGCCCGGGGGTTTAGGGTCTGGCCCCAACCGGCGGGGGCCCCGCGCCCGCCCAGAGGACAACCGGGGCCGTTGCCCAAGACGGACGCCAGGAGGCGGAAGACCCCCCTCAGCCAACCCGCGAGGTTTTCACCGCAGAGAAGACCTTTCCGAAGAAAAGGCTTATTTTTGATTTCGATTAGCGCCGACGACGGCAGGCAACGGATACAAGCTAGACAGGTTAACCGAAAATAAAACAGAATAGTCGCCTGCCAGATTTTGACGGGAGCCTACCCCGACTGCTCTTTTCAGAACCCATTTAGCTAGTACCGAAGAGAAGAAAGAATGAGGAGAGTAAAACAGTAAAAGAGAACCGTTTTGGGTTTTCTGAGGTGCAAAATAATAATAATAGGTAATATCCTCCTTAGCCTGTTGTGTTGTAGGCATCCTTTAGAGTATTTCGTGGCTTTTTGCTGAAAGCCTGCGACAGGAAAAATGGAAAGGAGCTGATACTTTCTCGTTGTTATATTTTCTACTTCTCCTCTCTTTCTCCTCCTCTTAGTCGGTTTCTGCTATCGGGATCCATTTCTTTTTCCCACCATCCCCCCCCCTTTTTCCTCCCCGCGAGTTGAAAAGCCTCAAGATGAAAGGAAGGCAAACCTCCCATTCGTAAGTGAAAAGTTATAAGTTTCTATTGATCTTTGATATATACTGAAAAAAACTACTGAACATGGAATGAATAAATCAAAACATTTAAATGAACGCTGAGATACAAATCCAGCGACATGATCCGCCTAATTAAGGATTTCCTTAACTGTCTCTCTCTTTCTCTTCCCTTCTCCCATCTTGCGCTACATAGTAGAACCGACTAAGAATTTTCCGGTCGAAAAGCCGAACAAAAAGGATAAACTTATGGGCCACTTTTCACGGAAAGGATGCGTGAAGGCGCATCAGCCAAGTTTTCTTTGGAAGGAACCTATTCTACTGAGTGGAAAAATCTGTTTTTTTTTCTGCGAGGGCTTTTCTACGCGAAGTGCAATGTCATCGAGCGCCCTTGTCGATACGGCTCTATTCTTGATAGCGGCTAAGGCCGTCGTGCTATCAATATTTATATGAAGGTTCAACCCTGCGGGAATCCATCGCAGCCAGTGATCCACCGCGAGAACCACGGTGTTCGCTTCCAGCGCGGTTATGCAGCGCCGCTCTGCTGCGGACCATGTTTCACCAACGTTCATGATTTCTTGGGGCTCGTCCCGCATCAACACCGCTCCCCAACCAACTCCAGAGGCATCGGTGTGGAGGGTCATCGTCGTCATTCTCGTTGCCATAGCTGGCGCTATCGTTCGTGGACAATTCTTCTGTACCAGCTCGTACCACTATTTAAGTTGTGCATGCCCCGTCGGGCGTGTGCAGACCGGCTCCTTCACCAGGGGAGTTGTCCGGCTGAGCGGAGACCGCCTTCGTCTAAGGAGCTTCGACACCCAATAGAACTCTGCGATGCGGATATATAGGAATGACGAGCTGCGGAGGAGTTGCGCGTACAATCGCTCCAAGTCACCGTCCGTCATGCTTGGCGTCGGACCATCAATCTTCTGGATCGTGTGATCTGCCACGCCCACTTTGAGAGCTGCGTGGTTGAAATATACCCCTCATGAAGTCAGTGACTTCTCCCGTGTAACTCTCATTCGTGTTAAGAGAGACTGGACACTCTTTTGCGGCGGTCAACATCCTCCTGAATGCTATTTGGACTGCTTGACGCGTGCCTGCGTACCGTATGTTGTCGATCCGAACGTCGATTGAGGTCAGGGCTGGCCGTTCACGGTGATTTTTTTGCCCGCACACTTCGGACGGCCTGCCACGGTGGACGTGAGAATTTGCACGATTTCCGGTGAGGCCGACTGTCCCATCAGAGGCCGCGTCAAGTACCGCTGTGTACCGCTATTCGGATCTGTTAAGACGGAGCTTTCTTGATCTCTTTCTGGGAGCTCGACCTGAAAGAAACTGGCCCTCAGGTCGTGTACGCTGCCCATCTCGGCGTTCACTGCGTCGAGATGTATCGCAACGTGTAGGAGTGGCTCGTCTGGGCGGTAGCCTTGTGCGTCCGAATAGCCGTTGCTCTTTTTCCTGACATCAGAAACTGATGTTTGCTGTGTGCTTAGGCTGTGTGCAAAGCAGTCTGCTCCAAGGAGGTGAAGGAGATCGTCCACACACTGGGGGATCTCTGGTCACATGCGTGACCTAGCTTTCTGAAAGTTGAGAGGCGCAACTTCCGACGCACCACGGATGTTGGAAGCCTTCTTCCGTGATGGCTGCTTTCTTCAGTCTCCATGCGCCTCGACCGAGATAGCCGCCGCGACCTGCGGTACCTTCTTCTATTCGTCATTTCCGTGCAGAGACAATAGCATTTGTCTGCAAGCTGATAAAGCCGGTCTTGATGGTGTTGTGCCGTGGCTGGCCGTGCGGGTTCACCGCTGTCAGTATTTTCATCAGTAGACAGTTTTCTTTCTTGTGTTTATCGGTGCTGCATCCAAAAGGGATCTGCTATGCGTTTCGCGATGTCGAGAAGGTTGTCTCACTCTTCTCCATCTTCATAACTCGTAAGAGTCATGTTGCCTTTTGGGTTCCGATCACTTTCGCTAACGGCACGTGTTCGGTGATGTAGCGAATCGTGTTGTGCATTGTGGCTTTGCCATCGCCATGCTTTGCTAACAGCGGAATGTACTTTTGCTTGCGCTGATTCTGCGCGGCGTATGCTGTGAGGAAATTCAACGCGCCTCGTTTGATTGAGTGCGCTATCAGTGCCGGACTTGCTGGTTTCGGCGTGTGGATGATCTGATGCATATTCATTGTTGTGAACTGAGTTGATGCTGGGTTGTCTGCTTTCCGGCTGCTGAGAATTTGAGCGATTCGCCCCATATCGTTTGCGTCCTCGACCCCAACTAGAGCGTAAGCCTTGTAAGGGTTCCGTGACGGTGTCTTTCCCGCGTGAAGCGCATGACAATGTGCTGCAGGTTCACCAGCAATAAATTCTCCGCCGTCAATCATTGAATATCTCCCCAACGGCCTGCCGTTTTCGACGCCTGGAGTACCGCTGCGTGCTCGCGTGACCTGTCTTTCAGCGCTTCCATGACAAGCCCTATCTCTCTCCTTGTTGCAGGTGCGGTTTGCTTCTGTGAAGTTCGGTTGATAGAGTACGTTTTCAACATCATCTTCACGGAGATGTTTTCGGTTTGCAGAAGCTTCAATATTTCTCATGCAGTCACTGCGTCGGTTGACTTTGTGTTGCTGCTGACCTTCATTTGCGTGATTGCGTTTGCAGACCGGTAGTCTGTGTTCGACTACGAGATTCTGTCGACGTCGATATTCTTGGCGTGTTTCTTGGTTGTTGCAATGCCGTGCACCAAACTGTGTCAGATGTGTCTGCGGTTCTGCCACATTCTCGGGGTGGCTCCCGCGTAACTCGTGGCCAACGTGGGTGTCGTTTTTAAGTGACTTTATTTTGGTTTCCAGACGGTTTCTTCTACTTTTTCCTTCTGCTTTTCTCCTTTCCTCTCTTTTGTAAGAGCTGCAGCCTTTACGTTTTCCTTTTTTTTCTTCGCTTGTTTTTCGTGACTGCTCAACAGTCGCAGTTTTTTGTTCGGCCCTCTCACCATCCCCCGGACGCTCTCGTCAAAACCCGGCAGGAGACTTTTTTCTCTTCGTTTCGGTTATCCTGTCTAGCTTGTATCCGTTGTCCGCCCTCATCCGTCCGAATCGAAATCAAAAAGAAGCTTTCTCGTCGGAAAAGCCTTTCCGAAGCAACCGCTCTCCATGGGACCGCTGCAAGGTTCAAAATAGGGAGGGTTCCCTGTAACTGATCTCGCATCTCTTAAAAGAAGCTTTTTTCAAACGTTCTTCTGTCTTCTGAATTCTTTTTTCGGGGGTTGGGTTGCGGCGCAGCTGCGCGTTTGCTCGTTGCTTCGGGGCCGCTCCGGCCGGCCGGGGCTGGGGGCTTTGGGCGCGCCCGGAGGGGATCTGGCCCCCCCCCCCCCCCCCCAAGGCCCCAGCCTCGCGAGGGCCGCAGGGGCAGGAAAGGCGAGGAAACGGCAGCGGAGAGACAGCAAAAGTTCGATGCGCGCCCGGCGTGGCATGTCGGCGTGAGGAGCGGCAGCGCCGGCGGTATGAAGGAGAGCGGGCGTTTCGCCCACAAACATGAAGTCTTTGACGTTGGCAGCCAGTGCGGGGTGAAACACACGTGGCGCAGTTGCTTGTTTTCTTTCTTTCTTTGCTGTTGCACGAGTGAGGGCGTTGTTGATTCGCGAGTAAGATGACGGATAAGTTCCCCAGCGGTTTTCTTTTTCCATTCCGCAACGGTGCTGACTACAGCTCCGTGCTCACCTTGTAGGCGCGTGGCACGGCGCGGACGCGGTGCGGCGTCGGCTTCGCGAGTCCAACGGGATGCGCTCGGCGAAACGCTGCCGCGCGTCGAGCCAGCGGGGCCGACAGGTGGAGCAGGCAGCGGCACGTGAAGCGAAAGACGCAGACCCACAGGACCGACAGGAGCAACACCGCGGCTCCCCAGCTCATCACGATGGTGTCGAGCCGGAGTGCGCCGTCGAGGTGGCTGCACTGCTCCAGCGGTATCGGCCGGCTCAGCAGCAGGTTGTACTGCCGTGTCTCTACAAGGTCTGCAGCACGTGGGGGGCCGCCGTAGGCCGCAGCGATGGCGCGCAGCTCACGCATTCGGTGTGCTATTTCGTTCGTGGAGTTCACAACCGTGGCCACCGCCTGCACGACGTCATTAGGGGAGAAGGTTTTCGTGTGCGCCACCCGCACCCCGATCCCGCCCTCCGCGACACGCTGGCACACGTCCGCCTGATCCGCGAAAAGGGGGAAGCCCACGATAGGGACCGCCGCCTCCATCGCCTCCAGCACCGACGCGTCACCGCAATGCGTCACGAAGGCGACGGTGTGGGGGTGCTTCAGGATCGCCATCGGCGACGACACCCAGGGCGTCTCGTAGAAACGGTTCGACGGCGGCGTGCGGGCGGCTGACACGGCGGAGCGCCGCTTCCACACAACACAGTACGGCGCGGCGGCGAGAAGACCCTCCCGCAGCGTGTCCTCCAACGAGGCGGTCGGCGCGGACAGCGTGCCCCAGTTCGCGTAGAGAACGCCCTGACGGCAGCGGTCCAAAAAGTCAGCGAGGTCAGCGGGCAGGTCGTGACGGCGGTACGGCTGGCGCTGCTCCCGCGTGTGCAGCGGACCCACTGGATGCACGTTTGGGCACAGCGGCTGGGGGATGTCCAGCCCCCACAGCGTTTGCGTGATGAGCGGCGCGTACATGCCGGCCACGTCGTACGCGTCACGAAACGGCGCTACGCCGTGTTCGGCCCGCACGCGGTTGAGGGAGCGGACGATACGCTTCGCCGCGACCATGGAGAGGAGCTTGAAGGCGAAGTTCTGCGTCCGCTGGAGAAGGTTCATGTGCCGAGGGAAGCCGAGGCCGACGGCTGGCAATAGGGGATGAAGACCCACTGAGAGCTGCGTTGTGAAAGGGAAGCTGTGCACCACTGGCAGGTTCAGCTGCCGTGACGTCGACGAACATGCGTACGTGACGATGTCGCACAACATCGTGGTGAGGGGGCGACGCTCGTGAAGGAGACGCGCTGCGTGAAGGTACTCGCCGAGCGACAGCTCGTGATGTTGGAAGAGGTTGTCGAAGAGGCGGACAAAGGACAGCGTCACGGACGAGCCTTCGCGCGTCATCGGCTGGAAGGTGGCCTCGCTAAACACCTCCGCGTGGCGGGGGACGATGATGCAGTCGACATCCAAGCTGCGGTCGGATGCTGTCTCTTGCGTATCCCCGGCCATGCTCATGTTCAACACATCGAGCGGGGCGGCGTGCCGACTGCGCTGCAGAATGACGGAGCACCACGAAGGCTCCTCAACGAACACCGACACGGCGTGCCCGCGGAAGGCGAGTTCCTCGGCGATGGCCCAGAGAGGCTTGAGGTGTCCCCACAGCGGGATCGACATGACGCCGACGTGCAGGCGAGGCGCTGCATCGGCAGCGTGGTAGAGAGGCGCGACGGCGGATGCGACCGTGCACAACACGAGAACGCAAAACAACAGCAGTAGTAGAGCCGACATAGAAATTGTTGAGGTGCCAAAGAGGCGGCGACGCAGCTGGAGAACACGCATGACCAACGCCTTACGCGCGCGTGTGCTTGTTCGACGGTTGTTCCGGGAAAGAAGAAAGAAAGCGCGATGTGCGTAGTAGCGGTGCTTCAATGAACGCGAGCGCTTGAGAGGCGCCGTTACGGAGAATTGCGAGACAAGTACACGATCGATGAACGACTATGCGAGGCACCGTACGGAGAGAAGGCCAGCACTGCGTCGAAGGGCGGGAGAGAGGCAGAGTCCGGCGTTCAGCTTCGTTTTATGCGAGGAGCGTCGAACAGGGTGCTGACAAAAAGCAGGGGAGAGGAGGAGGGAAGAAACGTCGGAGAAAGAAATGCGCTTAGATACCACACCGATCCACCAACGTGGTTTTCCTTTTCATTCTTATTATTACTTGTATTGGCCTTCAGAGTTTTTCTTGTGCGCTAGGTTTGGCTGTTCTGCTGCCTACGCATACTGCACTATGCGTAAGGGCTAGCGACCAGGAGAGCAGAGACTGACGCGTGTATTGAATTGCCGACTCCGTTTGACTGCAACTCATTAAACAAACAAAAAAGAATTTCTTTTGACATTCATTTCCTCGCACGCGCGCGTTGTCGAAAGGAAGACTTACCAGTACTTTCAAAGAAAACGAAAAAAAGACGAGAATACCGCACGCAGTGTGAATTACTGAAGAACAGACAGTCACCACTCATCTGATGAGAGGCTGCACAGAGCCCGGCTCCGCTGGTTTTGGTTTTGCGCGTAGGTGCGCTTTTGCTGACGAAAGAGTGTTCGGGGAACAGTGACAAATGAAAATTGCCTTCGAAAAACAGGAACCCCCATCATCAACAACAGCAACAGAAAAGCGGCGAAATGATGGCACAGGTGATCGATAGTAAAAAGGGCGACGACGGAGGCAGACGTGCGTGTCACGTTAAGAAATAAAATAAAAGAATCGCAGAGAAGTCGCGCGCCCATTCACAAGCGATCGGAGGCGGAGAGCAAAGACGAAGAAAGCACAAGAGAAATGTTTCACCTCCGTTCGGTACGGAAACCAGCAAAAGAAGTCAACAAACAACACACACAACAGTAACGAGGCGAAAGCGAAGCTTTGAGGGAAGAAGATGAAGCGGACGCGGAGCAAAGTGATAGAGAAACGGTTGATATACGCCCCGTATATATTCTTTCTCATCTTCTTTTTTCTCCTGTCCGTGTCAGCTAACGGTTGTACGTGAAGGCGAAAAAGGAAAAGATAGAGGATGGAGGAACTCAAACGGTTACCCAAATGATTCTCCAATGAAGCGCCTGCGCTCGCCTGCCCGCGTTGCTTCGGGACGGCGACGACGACCTGCACAGCGGCCACCACACACACGCACACGTGCGTACACCACGTGTGGTGAGCGTGGCGGGCTGTCGTCGACGACGAAAGGGAGGAGAAGAGCCGAAGCCACGAAGCCACGAAGCAGAACCGAAAACCCAAGCGCCAACGGAGGTGTTCCTCCACGTTTTTTGTGGTTTCTCTCTCGCTCTCGTCCTCTGGAAAAAATAAAATAGATGGAAAAGAATGAGCTGAGACGTGAAGAAAGAAAGGGAGAAGAAAGGGAGGGAAGGGAACATGAAAGGCAGGACCACGCCTTACAGGGCGGCCAGAAATAGAAGAGAAACGAAAACCAAAAGTTGTTTAAAAATTGTTTTCGCGCATGACAAACAATGAGGTGTCCGCTGTGCGCTTGTGTGCTCGCCCTCACGAGGAGTCGTCGCTGCCGCTGGACACCTGCGCTGCTGCAGCGATGGCCTGCGTGAGGTCCGCAAGGATGTCTTCGATCTGTTCAATGCCCACCGACAAACGAATCAGATCCGCCGGCAGTGTGCGCTTCTCCTTGGGGATGGAGGCGTGCGACAGCAGACACGGCATCTCCACCAGCGAGTTGCAGCCGCCAAAGCTGACCGTGAGCTTGAAGAGCTTGCAGGCCCGCACAAACGCGTTGGAGCGCTTCACGCTGCTGGTTTCGATGGACAAGACGCTGCCGGGGCCGGAGGTCTGCGAGCGGTGCAGGTAGAAGTTCTCCTGCGTCAGGGACGACACCTCGGGGCACGTGGCCGGGTTGATGCCGGAGTAATGCAGGCGCGAGACGACGTGCTTCTGGCGGGAGAGGAAGAGGGCCACCGCGACGGCGTTCAACTCCTGCTTCGCCACCCGAATCGACAGCGTGCGAATACCGCGCAGCAGCAGCCAGCAATCAAACGGCGCCAGCGCATTGCCCTGCGCGTTCTGCAGGAATGCAATCCGCTTCACGTCCTCCTCCGACTTTACGCAGACGATGCCGCACATCACGTCGCTGTGGCCGCACAGAAACTTGGTCGCGCTGTGGATCGAGTAGTCGCAGCCGAGGGCGAGCGGGGTGCAGCGCACCGGCGACATCATCGTGTTGTCGATGGACACCTTCACGTCGTGCTGGTGGGCGAGCTCGCAGACGGCGCGGATGTTCACAATGCGCATCAGCGGGTTCGTTGGGCTTTCCAGGTGCAGCAGCTTCGCGGACGGGTTCTCCTCGAGGCCCTGGCGCACTGCATCGATGTCCCATGTGGGGACAAAGACGACGGTGATGCCGAGACGGGAGGTGACCTGCGTAAGGAGGCGGTGCATACCACCGTAGAGGTCACTGCTCGCGAGAATCACATCCCCGGCGCTCAGCGTCGTCACGAGGGTCTGCAGAGCTGCCATGCCGGACGAGAAGGCGAAGGCCGCGTGGGCGCCTTCGAGGTTGGCGACCAGGGTCTCGATGGCGGTGCGGGTTGGGTTGCCGCTGCGGCTGTAGTCGTAAGGGCCGAACTCCTCGATGTCGGGCTGCACGAAGGTCGCGGTTTGGTAGATCGGCATCGAGCTTGGGTGGTAGGGGTCGTTCGGGCAGCCGTCGAAGATCACCACCTGCGTGCTCGGGTGCTTCGCGGCGGTGTCGAAGTGCGGCCGCTTCGGGTACGTCGGCAGCTCGCTGTAGTCTGCCCCTTTCGGGAACTTGTAGCTGACGGGCAGCATCGCCTGCTCCAGATACTGGCGCTCCTCCTCGAGGGCCGTCAGCACCGTGCGGCTGCCGTGGATCTTGGCGGCACTAATGGCGTGCATCATCTCCATCTCCGACAGCCGTTGCTTCAGCAGGTGGTTCTCGGTCTCGAGCTTCGCCACGTGCGCCTCATGCGTTCGACAGCAACAACATTTATCGCAGTCCTCGCAGGTGCTGACCGCCGCCGTTGCCGCCGTGAGTTCAGTTTGCGGCATTTATTTATATAGGAGGTCAAGAGAGCTGGAGCTGCTTCCTTGAAGGAAAAAGAAGAGAAGGTGCAAACCGGTGATGCGTGTTGGTGTGAAGGAAAGGCCTGTGCGTGTGTGTGTGTGCGAATTCTTCGCGCAGACAACGATCCGTTTAGTTACACGTGTGCGTGTGTGCGTGTGTGTGTGCAGAGAAAGCATAGCAAGGCAAAGCAGAAGGGAAAGTAAAAGCCAAAACAACGTTCAGGTGTAGAGGGCACGGAGGTGACGATCCCTGCAGAACAGCAATGACATTCATCGTTTTCATCCGTGTTCTCAACGGGACCTGAATAGCGATGCAAGTGGACAACACCCTCTCTCTTCCTCTCTCGCTCTCTGCTTTGCTCTACTCGAGATGCGCGCTGCTTTGATGAGATATGCACAGAAAAACCTTGCCAGATTCAGTTTTCCCTTTGACACGGGAGATCACACAGTGACTACAGCACTTAGTTAAACAGGTAATACGTCAGGGGTAATAGCGTTAACAAGCGACTGGGCAACACCAACGACGCCCCCTCCCTCTTCCCAAGAGAGACGCACAACATTGGGCGACAGCGTTCCTTCATCGTTTGCCGCTTGGCAAAGAAAAAAATAATACTCGTGAGTGCTTAGTAGGTTACCTTTCTCATGCCGTTGCACATACATATAAGGCTTTCTCTTTTACTTGTTACGAGAATTTCGCGTTCGAGAAGTCCATCTCCGGGTGCGCCGCCATAAACTTCTGCAGCATGTCCTGCTTCTTCTGCTCATCGGAGGTGGGCTTGCCCATCATCTTCTGCCGCTGATCGTACATCATCTTTTCCACCGTCTGGCGGGTGTCGGCGTCGAGGTCGTCCAGCTTCGAATTCTCCGGCATCACCTTCTGCAGATCAATCGCCGGATCCCCGATGAAGATCGTCTTCCACCACTCCATCGTGTTCTGCTTGTACAGGGTGATCACCACGGTGTTGCCGTCCTCGATCGTCCACATGCACTCCTCCGCGCGCACCGTGGCGTAGAGGTCGCCGTCGACAATAGGTGACTGCCCCTTCATCCCAACCGTCAGGTGGGTGCCGGTGATGACGACGGTCAGCTGCTTACCGCGGACATTAGTGGCCGGCAGCGGCACCCGCACCTCCGCCTCCTGCAGCGACTGGGAGAAGATGTACTTTTCATAGGCATAACCGTTGTCGGGGGTTGGCGGCAGACCACGCGGGGCGTCCCCTGTGTCCGCAAAGGCCTCCTTCGCCGCTGCTTCGCCGTCGTCGTCGTTCCCCTCCTTTTTGACCTTCGCCTGCGCCTCCTCGACGGCCTTCTGTGTCTTCTCCAGCTGCGCCTTGCGCTCTGCTGCCGCCTGTGCAGCCTTTGCCGCCGCCGCCGCGTTCATATCGTCCTCGTCGTGGAGGACTTCGACGCGGGAGGAGGTCGGATGGCCGGACTGCTGCTGCTGCTTCTGCGCTGCTGCCGCTGCCTCGGCCTCCTTCGCACGATGCTGCTGTTGCTGCGCCTCGGCGACGGCGATGTAGCGGTCCATCACCTGCTGAACGCTGCGGCGCGCCATGTCGGACTGCGTGAAGAAGTCCGTCTTTCGACTGAGGAAGGAGAAGAAGGTGTCGAGGATGCCGTCGATGCCTTGCTGCTGCTGGGCGATGGCCAGCAGCATGGAGTCGAAGCGCTCATCGGCCATGCTTTTTGCTGAGTGCGGCTTCGTTAGCTGTAGAAGAAAAAGAAACAAACAGACAGGAGTATCGAAAGATGAAGCGTTGAGCTGGTAACGAGGCGCGAGTGGCTGTACAGGCAACGAAGAGGGTGGTAGTGGTGATTCCTGCGTCGGTGGTGCGCACGCGTTGAAAAGGAAGAAGATTGCGTAAGATTGAGAGAGGGAGGGGAAACGCTGAAGGTTGGTCAGGTGAAACAGCAGAGGCTAGCCGTGCGTAGTTCGTACACGCTTCTGCCCTTTCTTGAAATCAATTTGTGAAGCGCACCGGCTCCCCGTTAGAACACAGAAAGCAAAGCTGCTTGAGTTCATCATTCTTATATATATATATATATATATATATATATATATATATATA